TTATATCATTATTATTATAATATTAAATCCCATCATGAAAAAATGTATCTTAAAAAGCATCATGTTTATTCCAGGAATACTACAAGCAGAGGAAGCGATGGATTCTTTCCGACATGGCCAACGCTGTCCTGGTCGTACAGAATCTGTTCCGTTTGATCCGCAACAACGATTGCTTCAGCATGATGTACGTGGTCTACCTCGTCAACATGTTCCTCAACAACATCATCACGCCAGGCACGGCCATCGTCATGATTACTGCTGGTAGGTCATGTCTTTTCAGTGGAGTCAGCAGCTGCCGTCGGCTGTGAGTTTGTGGTTCAGGGATTAGGCTGTAGGGTTCGTAACAGAAAAGTCATGGGTTTGAACCCTGTCTGAAGCCCGATACATTAAATGTGTCTTTTTTTAAAAGCACTTTGCACGAATGTTTCTCGTTTCACTCAGCTAGACTGTTGACGTCAAAAAATCTTGTCAGTTGATTAGTATCAGTGTAGTCTGAATCAGCTGCTTCCATTGTATGCTTCTCGGGAAGAGTTTAAGTGTTCTATAGTCAGCTTGGGTAACAATATGAGAGGATCACATACAAAGGGGGTCCCATTGTTTTTTTCTCGTCCTTCTAGCCCCTCAGCCTGGTATCCTGGTGGGGGATCAAGTAGCCTGCATTTAGAAAGGCCCACATTGTGTGCAGTAGGTCACTGAACGTAAAAACGAAAGAAATAATAAAACGGTATTATGTTTGCGTGCGATATTGAAGCTTTTGTAGACCATAATATTTTTATGTTTTGCAGAACATGGTTCCTATATTAAGTAAACAAGAAAAAAAGGGGGAGGGGGGGGGAGAGAGAGAGAAACAAAACCCCTGAGGCGATACACTGAAGCACAAATATCACACACTAGGCTATTATTATGCAGTTAAGCATAGATCTAGTCTTGTATGTGTGTTCTTCCACCTCTCAGCTGGTGTGCAGTCATTCTAATTTTTGCCCCTCCTTCCACCCCCACCCCCCGGCCCTTTTGCCCACATGGGGCCCTGGCAAAGAAACAGCGGGGAAGCAGGGGCGGAGTGCCTTTAAAAAAAAAATTTTGCAGTATCTTTTTTGTGTTTTATATGTTTGGCTGCACCAAGAGAAGAGCGTTATGTCAGCATTTAAGGGGTGACTAGGTGTAAGAGAAGACAAAGAGAAGGAGACCGTAATATTTTCATACGAGGCACAAAAAATTATGAACATGCGGGTATGACGTGTAGAGAGAATTAAACATGCTGTGTCCATAATAAGGTATGACTTGCATTAAACGTTTTTGAAGCACACTTAAAATGCGATAAGAAAACGTAAGCCTTCAACAAGCCGACTTCTTCTCTGGACACCTGGGGTTCAGAAGAACATCGCTCTCCTCCCCTCCCCTCCCCCTTCTATCTTTCTCTCTTTTTTCTCTGACTTAAACACACACTCTCTCTCTCTCTCTCTCTC